GCTTCCATCAGAACTTCTCAAAAATTGACTCTCTTTAAATCGAAACTCGAAAAGAAAGCAAATCAATCTACAGGAGGTGAGCTGCGCACATTGGAAGGATTTTAGTAAACTCTACTGTCCCCTTCTATCTTGGAGATGTTGGTACAAAACTTGCCCCGCTATGTGAGATGGTCTGAATAATAAGAAAAGCTGCAGATCTAACACCTCTTTATGTATAAAAGAGTCCTAAAAGCAGGGATCCCAACCTGAAATAAGTAATTTCAGGGAGGTGCCCTTCTCATTTCAGGGAGGTTTTTTTTTTTTTTTCTGACTGACGGCAGACGGCAACCCCAATGTCAGACAAAAAAAAAAAAACAGAGCAGAGAAAGGTTTAGTCTGCTAGATCCATCCTTCTGGAGAGGAAAGCAGATGAAGGCATTGTCAGGGGGAGCACTGTGACCTCTCTGAGAGGCGATAAATCCCCGGAAGGCTTATATTAACAAATTACTTAGCATGCATGCACTTAAAATAAAAAAAATGATATCTAATGCTAGGTCAACTTGAATATCGTATAAGATCAATCAAACCTCCACTCAACCCCCAACCATCAGCCTGGACTACTACGTAGGCCATGCATGGTAGACTTTCTTCAACACATCTAGATCCAAGTACAGTGGTACCTCGGTTCACAAACGCTTCTGTTCAGCAAAATGTTGCTTCCATTCGCGAACTCCGCATCGGGTGAGGAACACAACCGCAGCCATCTTCCTTGCTCTGACACTGATCGTGACTTCCTCTAGTCGACATTGCGGTCTGATCACAGTTCGATTCGGTTCGCGACCAATTCGGTTTGCGACCAGAATCGTGGAACGAATTAAGTTCGTGAACCAAGGTACCACTGTATAGTTAGAACACTAACAAACCAGACTTCTAATGAGTAGAGGCATTTTTTCAGGTCTGGATAGAGTAAACAAGTCTTGAAACTCTTATCAGGTTATTTTAACTATTGTTGTCCTGTTGGAGAGATCTCCCTTCGCTTCCTGTCTTGGTGATGCAACAGGAAGTGAGAGGAAACTCCCCTAACTGAGGGGATTTCCCATCTGAGTCAGTTGTCATCTGAACATTTCCCCATTGGAAGATTTCCCCTCACTTTCTGCCAATGAGAATCGGGACAAATTGAGGAAATACGGCAATAAAAACTTTGCAAAAGGATCAACACCCCCGTCTTCTTCTCCGACACAAACCTAAAAAAAAAAAAGCAGCATAGGAATGAATAGCTAGATTGCTATTGGCTATTTCAATTTGCAATAGCCAATAGCAAGCGGGCTATTGCACCCGTCCTCTGCTGCTGTCCGTCAGTAAATGAGGACCTGATGGAGAACTTCAGGTCCATCTCTGTTGATTGACAGAAGCAGTGGGTGGGTGCAATAGCTAGTCTGCTTTTGGCTTTTTCAATTTGCAATAGCCAATAGCAATCTAGCTTCTAATGAGTAGAGGCATTTTTTTCAGGTCTGGATAGAGTAAACAAGTCTTGAAACTCTTATCAGGTTATTTTAACTATTGTTGTCCTGTTGGAGAGATCTCCCTTCGCTTCCTGTCTTGGTGATGCAACAGGAAGTGAGAGGAAACTCCCCTAACTGAGGGGATTTCCCATCTGAGTCAGTTGTCATCTGAACATTTACCCATTGGAAGATTTCCCCTCACTTTCTGCCAATGAGAATCGGGACAAATTGAGGAAATACGGCAATAAAAACTTTGCAAAAGGATCAACACCCCCGTCTTCTTCTCCGACACAAACCTAAAAAAAAAAAAGGGTTCTGCCTTAACATACAGTTTAAAGATCCAACTTCAGAAATGTAATACAAGTTTTATAATTAATAAAAAAAATGTGCCCTTTCCGAACGTTGGCCAGTCTACTGTAATCCATGAGGTCCTCTTTTAAGTGTCTTCCCCCGCGTTTGCTGGAGCCACAGTTCCACTTTGAAGCTCTTCAGATATCTCCAGCGTCAGGGTGAACTAGATACGTTCCCTTGCTCTCTAGTAACTGTACATTAATCAGATACCATCCGCCAATTTCGCCAGACAGTTGTCCTTGAAGCTACAGCCGGGGCGATTTGTGTTTTGAAATGAAAGGCTCGAGAAGCCTCTGGGGGGCTCCCTTCCAATGAGGAAATAATGGGCCTATTGGACGTGGCTTCATACCAAGTGCTATAACGGGAAATAGTCAAGCTGTGAATCCACGTCTTTATAAAAGAAACAAAATATGACTGCTGGAAAGCAATATATTTATGTTTCAAACAGACAGGCTATATGTCTGTCATTGAAGCCTTTTGTAGCTTTTGTTACCCTTCTATTACCTGAGCCACACTGACCGTCAGATACTTACTATCAAAGAAGTTCCCAGATATAAAGTCAGGATGTGACCTATTAAATAGCATTTTTTTCCGTTTTTTTTCAGATGTAACTTTATTCAGCTTGATAATGTTATGTCAGGTTGATCCAAGGAATATCCAATAGTCCTAAGGGTCCAGTAAGGATTTTTTTTCCCCGTTGGAGAAAATTGGACCATGCTTTGATGGTTTTTTTGCTTTCCTCTGGATTAACTGTAGGTATTGAATTCTGTATATGGAGGTTTTCAATAAAGTTTTCCCATGTTGGGGCAAATTGGACCATGCTTTGAGTGTTTTTTGCATTCCTCTGGATTAACTGTTGGTATTGGGTTCTGTATATGGAGGTTTTCCATACATTTTAACACTGTTGGAGCACATTGGACCATGCTTTGGTGGTTTTTTTGCCTTCCTCTGGATCAACTGTTGGTATTGGATTTTGTATATGGAGGTTTATTAATTAATTTTACCCCTGCTGGAGCAAATTGGACCATGCTTTGAAGGTTTTTTTTGCATTTCTCTGGATCAACTGTAGGTATTGGGTTCTGTATACTGAGGTTTTCAATACATTTTTCAACTGTTGGAGCAAATTGGACCATGTTTTTATTGGGTTTTCTAGCCTTCCTCTGGATCAACTGTAGGTATTGGGTTCTGTATATGGAGGTTTTCAATGAATTTTTCCCCTGGTGGAGCAAATTGGACCATGCTTTGATGGGTAACATAGTAACATAGTATTTGAGGTGGAATAAAGACACAGGTCCATCAAGTCCAACCTTTTGTGTGTATGCATGCGCATCTGTTTTGCATTTCTCTGGATCAACTATAGGTATTGGGTTCTGTATATGGAGGTTTGTCAATTAATTTTTCCCCTGCTGGAGCAAGTTGGACCATGCTTTGAGGGTAACATAGTAACATAGTATTTGAGGTGGAATAAAGACTCAGGTCCATGAAGTCCAACCTATTGTGTGTATGCATGCACATCTGTTTTGCATTTCTCTGGATCAACTATAGGTATTGGGTTCTGTATATAGAGTTTTTCAATGTATTCATTTATTTGTTTCATCTATTGGCTGAACTCAATAGGCTTGGTGTCCTTATTTCTATCTAACAGGGCTATTCACAAAAGGGGGAAGAATTTGGAGAAGGCGGGAGAAGTAAACAATGTAGGACAACATAGCCGATTTGGAAAAATTCTCCAATTCAGCTCACTTTCCAGTTCAGCTATGTTGTCCTAGATTGTTCACTTCTCCTGCCTTCTCCAAACTCTTCACCCTTTTGTGAAAAACCCTGTATGTAACTATATATATTTGACAACATAACTCCCAACTGTCCCTCATTTGTTGGTTCTCTTCCAGCTTAACTCCTAAACAAACACTTCTCCAGTCTCCACATAATAGTATAGATTGCCCCAAGTGAAGCAGTCCTCCTAAATAAAAGGGGCACATAACTGTCAAGAACCAGCTTCATTGAATAACTGGGTGGGCCTGGTAAAGGGAGGTAGTGACATGACATAAGAGGAGGACCACAGTGAGGCAATGAGGGACTAAGGGTGTGGAAGAAGGTGGTCTAGCCCTCTTTCCTCGATTTTTCTGTAGGTTAGAACTTGTTAGGGTTTTTTTTTGTGGTATTGGTGGTTGGTTATTGAGATCAAGGTTTTAGTCAGAGCTGTTGCTGGTCCTTGACCTAACGTTATTTTGGATGATGGGTTGTTGTTTAAAACGGTCACGTGAAAATGCTTGACTTTAATGGGAGTTGAAGAATGGAGGCCTCCCATAGTATGGCAAGGTTAAAACATTTTCATTGTATTGTGTACCTAGCCTGTGGACAATGACTGGTGGCTGGTCCAGTTGACCAATGGGTGATAATTTTGGTGGTCCTGTCAAGAATCAGTTTCACTGAATAACTGGGTGGGCGAACAAAGAGGGAAAGGGGGGAGGAGTGTAGGGCCTGGTAAAGGGAGGTAGTGACATGACATAAGGAGAGGACCACAGTGAGGCAATGAGGGACAACAAGTATGGAAGAAGATTGCATAGGCCTCCTTCCTTGATTTTTTTGAAGGTTAGAACTTGTTAGGTTTTTTTTTTTTGTCGTATTGGTGGTTGGTTATTGAGATCAAGGTTTAATGAAGAGCTGTGGCTTGTCCTAACATTATTTTGGATGACGGTTTGTTGTTTCAAACGGTCACGTAAAATATGCTTGACTTTAATGGGAGTTGAAGAATGGAGGTCTCCCATAGTATAGCAAGGTTTTGAAATGTATCATTGTGTTGTGTACCCACCTAGCCAGTGGACAATGATTGGTGGCTTGTCCTGTTGACCAATGGGTCATATTTTGGGGGTCCTGTTAAGGACCAGCTTCATTGAATAATTTATTTGCTTTGATGATGTTAATGTTTTTATTATAATACTGGGACATGTTAATCTCTCATATTAAAGCTGCACCCAAGGAATATTCCATAGAAAATCCATGTTTGTGTTTATTCATGGAATAATATGGGGGTGGTTGCAATGGGGTTGAGTTATCAATTTTGGTACCCATCTTTCTTTTGGTATTCAGCCCTACCTGAGCAATATTTTTGAAAATATAAGGTATAACTCAAACAGGTGAATCTGACTGTGTCCTTTCTTCCCCCAGCTGCTCCATCGATGACCAAGTGACACGAGTGGCCTGGCTGAACAGGTCCAACATCCTGTATGCGGGTAACGACAAGTGGTCTATAGACCCCCGGGTGCGGTTACTGAACTACAACAAGACAGAATTCAGCATCGTGATTACTAACTTGGACGTGGCTGACGAGGGGCTCTACACTTGCTCTTATCAGACACAGGACAAGCCACACACCACACAGGCCTATCTCATTGTGCAAGGTAAGACCTTCATAATCAATATTTAAAGCAGGAGCGGAAAAATTCATATGGATTTTAGGAGCCAGTCTCTCCGAACCAGGAGCCAGCAGGATTTTTTTTATTTGATGACTAAACAAAACCTCTAAAGCTAGGCCCCAGCTGTAATTTTTATGGAGCACTGGCCCCTGGAATTCACCCAGCCCTGATTTAGAGGGGCTGCTTACACTAAGACAGTAGAAAGGCATCATGGCACACTCACAAACCAGCATGTAAAACAACTTGTCTCACCTCTAAGGATAATGACAGAGGTTTGGATACACCAGCCTCCTTAAAAGCACAGAAACACACAAGGGATCCCGCACATCCCAATGGCAGCTGAGAAACCTCATGCGTCGCTGCACCAAATCGGTCAAGCAAAACAAGCGACAAACGCACTCAACAACTTGTCACCAGTTATACAGTAAGGTGCACACGTGTGCACCTTACTGTATAACTGGTGACAAGTTGTTGAGTGCGTTTGTCGTTTGTTTTGCTTACACTAAGAGACCCTCTGCCCATACTAATAATACCAACAAGATGATAATACCATAAGATGATATGTGAAATTGCATTGAATACAAATGTGCCCATTATACTCTACGGCTGCAAGGCTTTCCTTTTAAATGTGAGGGCTGGTGACAGGGTCTCTTTAAAGGGAAGAGAAAAACAAAAAGGAGCGCCTCCATAGTGTAAATTGCAATTTAATATAAGTTTTTTTTTAAAACAGCTTGAAGGTAGTCACAAAGAGCCAATAGTAACATGCTGGTAGTAATAAAATCTCAAGGTGAATTCTGATGGACGAATCGATGAGGCTAAGAAGTGCTAGTGAAGAGCTCAAACAATCTACAAGCACATCTTCCTCCAGTTGACGCGTTTCATGGGCGAAACCCCTTTGCATCTCTTTAAAGGGAATACACAGTGGTTTCTACATATGTTCTCCTGGGCTCTATGTTTTATGTTGTTGCTTTTTTTGTTTTTACTTCTACACTGTAAAAGAGAGTGTCTGTCAGTGTTTTTCTGCTCTTCTTAGAGCACATACAGCTGAATATGTCAGTGGAGGGACCCCCACTGCCTCATTGCCTGCAGTCAATAATGCTTTTCTATGGAGGCTCAGTTATGCTGGCCATACACGGAGCCAATTTCGGCCATTTCCCTGAAGATTGTGCCTTCATACTGACTTGTATTGAAAGATGGTGGTGGGGTGGGGGTGTCTGACCTGGTCTCATACTGAGAGCTGATTTCTAATTGCACTGAGTCTAACTCTGGTGCCTGTTGGACTGCTAAGTCATATTTAGACACCCTGTACAACTGCTGTAATAGGAAAGCGCCGATTAGCCTCTAAAATGGAAATTCTTAGTACAATATCTCTACTGCAGGTCTAAGCACCACTGATCCAGCCCACAACCCTTTCACTGTGCCAAGTTATCATCCACTTCAAATCTCAGCTCTACTTGCCAAGCTGTGATTGGCCCCTGCGGCTTGTCATCGCCCACTCTCTTTCACGATAAAATGATTGTACCCAATCACCATCAATCAAACTGGTCCCAGCACAGATTCACTTTTGTTGTGGCATTATTTAAAGTATAAAGGGGCCAAAACCACACCATGGGAACACAAGTTTAACAAAAATGCTTTTTATTTTATTTTAAGCTAGAGATAAGCCCTCTAGAGCAATGGTTCTCTACCTGTGTAACCTCAGGACCCACATCTTGATCATTAGGTCGTGACCCAAGTCGCACTCCAATAGAACGTACGGCATTGTGGTACCGTGCGTTCCAGTGTGGGCGACCGAACTGTGCGTGAGAGGTGCATTTGGGGTGTCATTGAAATGAATGGCAATGCAACACACCTCCTGCACCAGAATGCGCAGTAGGTGCGATTGCATCGTAAAGTGCGTTAAAGCATTCCTGCAGCAGGAATCCCTAATCTGACGTTTACATGCAGCAACTGTCACCCATTCAAATTAATGATCGGGTGACAGCCGCTGCATGTACACGCCTGCACACGCATGTAATGGTATGTTATATGATTACATGCAGTTACAAAAACAATCACTCTCCCTGGATAAACAATTGTGTATCCAGGGATAGTGACAGATTCCTAACTGCATGTAATCCTTTCACATACGATTACATGCGGTGTGCAGGCGTGTACATGCAGCGGCTGTCACCCGATCATTAATTTGAATGGGTGGCAGTTGCCGCTTGTAACATATGCAGACATTAACATTGGTACCGTATATAGTAGCGGCCCTCACACGACTAAAAAATGTGTCCAGTGGCCCCCCGACTAAATTGAGTTTGAGACCCCTGCCCCTAGACTGTTGCAGCAGAGGGGGCGAGAGGCTCCAGGGCCCAGTCTAAAAGCAAGCGGGCTCTGAGAATCAGATGAGTATAACTTTTTATTAATTTTTGGCCTTAGGCAAAAACCAGCCTTTAACCCTTGCAATGCTGGGTTTAGACCCACTGCAGGGGTTAATAGCATTTTTTTTTTTGTTACCTGGAGTCCTGCTTTAAAAAAATTAAAAAATCTAATTTATAATGACATTAACATGGTCTAGCTTATGGAATCAATGTTAGCAGTTGGGTTTAGATACATTTCACTGGCGCGGCGGTTTACTTTGTACTTTTCACTTAATAAATAATAACAATGGAACATTTTTTTTTTTTTTAGCAAATAATTTTTATTAGTATATAACACATCAACTGCAATACAAGTATAGCCCTCCAAGTGGGCGTAACAGAGCACATCAGAAAATGAACATCAGACATCTGAGTACATGGTCTATAACTAACCAGTAACCAACACAGTCGTATTAACCTAGTTGCAGATTCCCCATCCCTGACAATAGAGGAATGTCTACACCACCCTAAGGACATCATACAATGAGAATTATATAGTATTACAGTGAAGTTTGAGAGAGAAGGCATCGATATAATACAGTAAAAATACAATAAAAGAAATACAATAAAAGAAAAGAAAAGACAATCCAGGGACCTCTACATCGGTATCCCAGGTTGGAACATTTTTTTAATTTTTTTGTGTGCCCGGCAGGATATTTTATTGAATGACCAATAATATAAATGAGGGAACACGTCTCAGGTGTTCCCCTTCATCAGGGCTGCAATGCAAATAAAGAAAATATATATAATTCATAAGAGACATAGAACTCTATGACATAAAAATATATAACTAAAAGGTGGAAACATTTCTTACAAAAACAGGTCATTCAACTTCTATCATTTGTATTCATAACAAATTTTACAAAACTCTCAGTTCCAACGTCCAAAAGTATTGGGACGCCGGCCTTTACAGACACATGAACTCTAATGGCATCTCAGTCTTAGTCCATAGGGTTCAGTATTGGGTTGGCTCCGCCCTTTGCTGCTATAACAGCTTTAACTCTTCTGGGAAGGCGTCCACAGTGGCGTCACAAGGGGGGTGCGGCCCGCACCCGGGTGACACCATTGGAGGGGTGACACCAAAATGACTCAGTCATTTTGGTGTCACCCCCCTCTGAAAAGTCGGGCGCTCGGTCACGGACCGAACGCCCGACAGTATCAGGAGAGAGGAGAGGACCCGGCGGCATACCTTATCTTGCCGGGTGACTGTCCCCTCCTCTCTCTGCCGGCGTCCATCACCAAGATGGCCGCTGGCAGGTATCAGAATAGTGCCGCGCATGTGCAGTGACGTCTCGGGGTCTGAAGGCCACACGAAGTTTGGAGGTCTGTAGCTATTGACTCTACAGACAGTTGGGGACTTCTGCACACTGTGTGCTTCAGCATACGCTGACCCCGCTCTGTCATTTTACGTGGCCTACCAGTCCGTGGCTGAGTTGCTGTTGTTCCCAGTTGCTTCCACTTTGTTATAATCCCAGTAACAGGTGACTGCGGAATATTTAGTGGCAAGGAAATGTCACGGATGGACTTCTTGCACAGTTGACAACCTATCACGCTACCACGCTTGTAGTCACTGAGCTCCTGAGAGCGACCCATTCTTTCACATATATTTGTAGAAGCGTCTGCATGCCGAGGTGCGCAATTTTATACACCTGTGACCATGGAGGTGATTGGAACACCTGAATCCAATGATTTGGAGTGGTGTCCCAATACTTTTGGCAATATAGTGTGTATATATTTTTTTTTATCATTATTTATTTATTTATCCAAAAAGAAAAAGGATACAAAAGAAAATCAACATCATTTAAAACATTTTTTTCCTTATTTATAAGTTGAGTGCCCCCTGCAGCCGCAAACCTTTATCCTTAGCGCCGCCAAGCCACCTATCATCTACTCCAAACGTGGCAGGAGTGGCCGGATCAGCCATGATGATAACTATTTACATGGCGTAAATATAGTTCACAGCAAGCAAAGCTTCACAGATAATTATATATTAATTAGGGAAATGTGAAACCTTTTGGCAGGTCAGCAACCCGCGGCCGTCTAAAACGTTGACACTCCGCATAACGCGCAAGCAGCATTCCTTTCCAGGAGCGCACGCTAAATTAATACATTTGGATGCGGAATTATTAGGCAGGGGGGAGGGATCATATTTCTGCCGTGTGCGGGTTCAGCTTTCGGATGTGTGGCGGGTTGAAACCGCTAAACATTCATATATGATGTAAAAAGTGTAATTACGGGTTGTTGCCTCTAGTTATTATCAAAGCTTCCCTGAATTGGCAGTTAAGTTCAATAATGAGGTGGTGAATTACAAGATACTTTCCAAAGCACACTGAGGGGATTGAGCCACGCCAAGCGAGGAGAGCGATACAGTGTTTTCAGTGCGGCAACGGAATATTTATGGGGTGCTGACATTTTGAGGGGTGTTTGTTTTTGGCTGATATAGAGGTGTGAAAAAGTTGGTTTGATAGTGGCAGTTTCATCTACTTATATTTATTTTGGCTTCCAGGTCCCTCTTTCCCCTTTCTAATCAACATACTCAGGATTTTTTAAAATAAAGCCTTTCTTTTTTTATTACATTTG